AATTATTTGAAATAATTCTATAATTTTCTAATGTTCCGATTTATAGATATAGTAACAAGACTCAGATAAAGGATTCTTTAGTTGTGGCCACTACTGTTTTCATTAATCCCCTAAATAAAATGACAGTGATGACAGTGAAATTTATCTTGTGATAATAAGGCATTTTGGATGTAATGAAATGAGCACTGAACATGAAAGCGCAAGACTTTAGATGAGTTTCGGGTCTACCTTCTCACTGAACCTCAATTTCTTAACAATAAAGTAGGTGATATTAGTTCCCTCTTAAGGTGGTTTGAAAAATTCTATTAAATAATGCTCCTCAAGGTGTTTCATATATATTGTAAATATGTTATATAATGAAATTTGATGATATGTTTAATGTGGTTTCTATATTTTTGTGTCTTTTGTGCATCAAGTACCCACCAGTAGGGAGTACAAAATATTTTTGCCTATAGCTGGGACTGAAACATTTTTTCTTATAGGGCCAGGTAGTAAATATTTTAGATTTTGCAGGCCATATTTTCTCTGTCATAACCTTGTAGCCATAGTTAATATGTAAATGAATAAGCATGAGTATAATTATGAATGCTAAAATTTGAATTTCATGTAATTTCCATGTATCACAGAACATTCTTCCTTTGTTTTCTTTTCAAAAACCATTTGAAAGTATAAGAAACTATTCTCAGCTCACAGGCTGTACCAAAACAGGTATATATGGCTTGTGGGCTATAGTTTCCTGACTCCTACTTAGAACATCTGAAAATAAGTTTTAGATCGATTCTAAGAGTTTCATGGGGTTATCTGTTGTGGTGGTTTGGGAAATTTCTGAATGGAAATGCATTAAAAAAACAAATTGTGAATTATGTAATATATATTATATGTAGTCATTATATATAGTTATTATGAATATATACTATATATTTTATTTTCTTGGTGTATATTGAAATAAAAAAATGAAGATGGGTTAAATAGAATACACAACAGTGAAGTGTTAATCGAATTGGTAATCAGAACTATTCTATAATTATCCACTGCATTTAGAAAGGATGGTATTGGTAAGACTATCTAAATTGAAACAGTGTAATTGCAAATATTTTTTTTTTGTTTAAAAAAGAAATAATATCACTAGAATTTCATGTCCTTTAAAAAATATTTGTGGAGAATATATCTTTTTTTCTGTTCAGTTCTATTTTTGCCTTAAAATTGGGAGTTCTTCAGTAAAAGGATCTGACATAAAAATACCACAATTTATTCAATTTTTTCTATCCTTTTGATAAAAGCTTTTATTTTAATATTTGAAAAACACATAAGAGGCAAGGCATGATATTGTTTAAAATTGCATTTTATTGGCTTTGTTTAAAGATCTAGATAAAATGGAAAGTGCTAAGTTATTCTACCTCTGATTAAAAAAATATGTGATGGGAAAAATACTTTTATGTAATTGTCTTTTATATTCACAACAGCCTTGTGGAGAAAGATGGTGCAGGCATTTTCTCTGATTTCCTGATTAAGGAAACCAACGCTCACAAAATGCCCTAATATGTCTATGGTCTTATAGCTCATAAGCAAAGAGAAAAACTTAACTTTAAGTCTCAGCATTCATCTAGTATGCTTTTTACAACAATATTATCCCTTACACAGAGCTTAGCAGACTGCTTTGCACATTAAAAGGTCTGTAGTCTACAGCCATGCCACCCTGAATGTGCTCGATCTTGTTTGATCTCAGAAGCTAAGCAGGGCTGTAGGCGTTTGGAAAAAAAAAAAGGTCTGTAAATGTCATTTCCTGATGGATTTTTGAGGACTAAATTAACACTAAAGCCTATGAGAAGTTATAAAAATGTATTGTAATTCAAAACATTTAGTACTAGGGGATGTGTGTGGAAAGATTAGGGTTCATTTATTTCACGTTGTGTTTATATCTGAATGTTCACATATAGGCTAGTTAGCACAATTTCTAAAACAACACTTCCTACACAATGAATTTTTAATTAGTATGTTTATCACTTACAGTTTTTTCTCCCCAAAGGACTACAAGATTTCTAAAGGCAGTGATCACGCCTAAATATTAATACTCTCTCCCTATTCCTAAGTTCTTTTAAAAGCATGGAGTGGTTTGGATAGAAGGCAGTAGCAGTTTATGGACAGAAGTGGGGTAGCTCAAACAAGACAGGAAGTTGAGGCATTGATACTCCTTCCCCAACCTCAACTCCCACCCCAAAGTCTTCTCATTTATAGTACAGCTTAGACTTAGGGGACTGAGCAGGTTAAAATAAAACAAAACTAATAAAGCAGGAATAACAACTCTCTGTGTCTTGGTTGCATGCTATTTTTCTTCATGCCTCGAGTTAGGTAACTTTACCCAGCTAATTTCCATTATTTTTTAAGATTAACTCATTCAGTTGTAGGTACAGTGATTGACAAAATATAGCTTAATTTTCTTTTCCTGGATTTTCTTTTTTCTTTTGTAAATAACTTTATTGAGAAATAATTAATACACAACAGACCGTACATATTTAAGGTATAAATTTGATAGGTTTCGATATATGAAATCATTCATAAAATTACCACCATAATCAAGAAAATGAGTATATCATCAATCACAAAATTTCCTCCTGTCCCTTTATAGTCTCACCCTCTGCCTCTACTTGTATCCTGCCGCTACCACCCCAGCCCCCCGCCCCACTGTCCTCGGGAAAGGTCTGACCTGCTTTCTGTCACCACAGGTTACTTTGTATTTTCTAGAATTTTACATAAATGCTTTCACATGGCATGATTATTTTGAGATTCATTCATGTTGTGTGTATCTCCTGGTAGTTCATTCCTTTTACTTGCTGAGTAGCATTCCACTATATGGATATACCTCAATTTGTTCACTCATTCACCTATTGATAGACATTTGAATTGTTTACAGTGTTTGGATATTACGAATAAAGGTGCTATAACTCTCTGTACTGGTTTGTATATGAATCTCTGTAAGGACATATGCTTTTATTTTTTGGATGAAAACTTGGGTGTAGAAGGTGGTAGGTATGTGTTTAACAACTTAAGAAACTGTTATCCCAGGCTCTATCATTTTACTTTCCCATCAGCATTGTATTAGAATTCCAATTCTTCCACATCCTTTTTCAATACTTGGTATGATTAATCTTTTTAATTTTAGCCATTTAATATGTAGATAGGGTATCTTATTGTGGTTTTAATTTGCATTTCATGAATGACTAATGATGTTGGGCTTCTTTTTTAAAAAATTAAATTTATGGAAATGACATTGGTTAATAAAATTACATAGGTTTCAAGTGTAAAATTTTATAATACATCATTGCATTGTGTGTTCACTACCAAAAGTTAAATTTCCTTCCACCACCATATATTTGATCCCCTTTACCCTTTTCTAACTCCCACATCCCCCCTTTCCCTCTGGCAACCATTAAACTATTGTATGAGCTTTGTTCATTTGTCTCATTTGTTTGCTGCTTTCAGTTTTATATCCCACATACGAATGAAATCATATGGTTCTCAACTTTTCTGCCTGACTTATTTTGCTTAGCATGATATTCTCAAGAAGATCCATCCATATTGTTGCAAATTTCATCTTTTTTTTTGGCTGAGTAATATTCCATTGTACACATGTACCACATCTTCTTTATCCAATCATCTATAGAAGGGCACTTAGGTTGTTTCCATTTCTTGGCCACACACATGCTTATTTTCATTCTTATATCTTCTATGGCAAAGTGACTTTTGAAATCTTTGGCTATTTTTTTAAATTGGATTGTTTATTTTAGTGTTATTGAGTTTTGAGAATTCTTTATATTTTCTGGATACAAGTGCTTTATCAGATAGATTATTGGCAAACATTCTATCAATCTATGGCTTATCTTTTTGTTATATGTCATGGTATCATTTGAAAAAGTTTTTAATCATGATAAAAGTCTAATTTATCAATTCGTTCTTTTATCTTTTATAGATCATGCTTTTGGTGTTGCACCTAACCCAAGGTCACAAAATTTTTTCCCATTTCTCTTCTTAAAATCTTATAGCTTTAAGTTTTAAATTCAAATTGATGATCCATTCTGAATTAATTTTTGAATCTGGTGTGAGGTAAAGATTGGCAGTTGTATTTTTTTCCTGGCATATAGCTATCCTATTGTTCAAGCACAATTTATTAAAGAATCTACCCTTTTCCCACAAAATTGCTTTTGAACCTTTGTAGAAAATTGGTTGTCCATATAGGTGTCAGTCTGTATTCTGTTCCAGTAATCTATTTTTCTATCTTTACATTAATAGTCCATTGACTTGATTATTGCAGTTTATTAGCTAAAACTTTTTGTTTTATTTTAGTGGTTGTTCTAGAATTTATGATGTAGGTCTTTAACTGCTTATAGCCTGATATTATACCTCTAAGTGATATTACACCACTTCACTGCACACTTACATATCTCTCCCCTTCCCAAGCTCGGTGCTAATGTCATACATTTTACTTCTGCCTGTGCTATGAATCCTACGCTACATGCTTATTATTTTTTCCTTAAACAGTAAATAAATATTTACTTTTAGATAAATTTCGTTTCTTTATGTGGAAATAGACTTCCATCTGCTATCATTTTCTTTTTGTCCGAAGGGCTTCCTCTAGCATTTTGTATAATGCATGTCTCATAGTGATGAGTTCTTTTAGTTTTAGTATCTCTGAAAAAAGCCTTCATTTCATGTTTATTTTAAAAGATATTTTCTCTGGATATAGGGTTTTAGGACAGCAATTTTTATTTCTTTTTAGTACTTTCCTGTTGCTTCACTATCTTCTTGCTTATATTATTTCTGATGGCTAACCTGCTTTAACTCCTATCTTTGTTTCCCTGATATAATGTATCTTTTTTGCCAGATGCCTTTTAAGCTGGGTGTCCAGAATAGCTTATGTCAATTTGAATTTTGTCTCCTACATTTTAAATATATCTAGTACCTTTATTTCTATGTTAATATTTAGCTCTTCTTTTTTCATATAGGCCTGAAGTGTTAGAAGAGTCACCTCTGGTCCCCCAGAAAGGCAGTTTTCAGCTTGTTCAGTGCAACTGCAGTGTTCGTGAATGTTGTGAATGTCATGTGCCTGTGCCAAAAGCCAAACTCAACTATACTCTTTTTATATATTTGAAAATCACATATGGTGGAGTAGTTTTTCAGTCACCTCTAATGTCCGTTCAGCCCATAAATATTGGTAAGTTGTGCATGAGAAAGATCATAGATCTAAACATCAGTTATACAAACAGGTTAAAGATTACTTACAAAATTTGTCACTAGCTTACCTTACCTCACTTTGTCCAATGCTGTACTGATGGTAAATGGGGTATGTTATGAGCAGCTTCTGGAATGATTTAACAATGGAATCGTTATCTCTGCAATTACAACTTAAATTCTGTCTTATAAACGGTTTGGTTTATTTAAATCCTGGGTCTGTCTAATGGATATGTATTTTTGGGTTATCACTTTTTCACATTTCGGATAACTATTTATGAAAAAATTAGAAGCTTTTTTTTTTTTGCCTGAATTTATTCCTTCAATAAATGTTTCTTGGAGGCTCATGATTTAGTTGCTGGGGAAACAGTGGCGAATGAGCAGGGACAAATAATAGTGGGCAGAGATAAAAAAGTAAACAAGGGGCAATATGCTATACAAATCTGATCACAAGAAAAACTCAAATAGTAGGTAACATCCATATTTTTAGTGCAAAACTCATCCAAGTTTTTTGATCAACTTGAATATATAACTACAAATGTGACTACTATGGGTAAATGTTAACTTAAAGTATTTAACTTACTCAGTTTTGTGTACGTATGTTAAATTATATATTACATATGGTATATAATTTAACAGGTTTTTTTTTTTTACTATTTTCCACTTGTATTTCCTGAAGTAATTATATATAAACTCATTATATGCATCTTTGCATCATTGCTTTTGACATTGCTAGAGCCATGTTTTCAGGTATCTGACACAATTTTCCACACAATTTCTCCTTTATGTCTTTCTAAGTTACTGGGGGTATAGCACTTTTTGAATTTGCACATGACATCATATTTTAACATTAGGACTTTGAAATAATTTGTCCTCTTGGGGTAAATTTATAATCTTCACAACATAATTACAATGACATCCAGGCAATTCAGTCATGAAGTTAAACCTTAGGAAGAAAAGGATACAAAAAGATCATTATCGTCTCTTTAAAATCTTATCAGGTGATTTTCAGAAGCATTTGGAACCAATATTGAATTGGGTTTTTTTAAAAAAAAAATAAAGAGAAAGTACTATGATAGGCTTTATAAAATCTTTAAAAGAATTCTGTCTTTCTTCAGGGACAATTTTGGGGAAATTTTTTTCCTTATATTTGGGTATATATGCTAAAGTCCAAAAATTCTAAGTGCCATAAAGGAAATAAGACAAGTGGTGTGATGGAGAGTGTTAAGGGTGGGGGTTATTATTTCAACTATGGAAGTCACAGAAAACCTCTTTTAGTAGATATAGCATTTGAGCTGAATGAAGAAGAGATAATCATGCAAAAATTCAGAGTAAAAGGTGCTGCAAGCAGGAAGAATAGCACTCACCATGCCCTTGAGCTTGGTTGTTGGAGGAACCAAGAGAAGGCCCTTGTGTTTACAGTGAATGAAGTAAGAGAGTATTTGGAGATGTGGTCAGAGTTATCTGTGTCCAGATCATATCACAGGCCATAGTTACAGAGTTTAGCTTTTATTCTAGATATAATGGAAGTTTTTGAACCAGGAGAGTTATATGATCACGTGTATGTGTGCACGTGTGTGTGTGTGTGTGTATTTGTACACATTTAATATTTATTCTGCAAGTGAAGAAAAAATTGATGGAGAAGGGGGAAAGATAGTTGGAAGAGTGGAAGTAGAGGGCCCAGAATGGAGGCTGTTGGAATTGTCCGGCTGGCTTAGGGCTTAACCAGGGGAGAAGTGAAATTATGATCAGACATAGGCTCTACTTGGAAGATGGCGCTTTCTAGTTGATTGGGTGTGGAATATGATGGACAGAGAGAAATCAAGGATAATACTTAGGCTTGGACCTCAACATGCCAGTGAATGGTGGTACCAGATACTGAGATGGGAAATTTTGGGGAGGATTAGGTGTGTGACACATTATCTCTGACATGCTTATTAGAAACCCGAGTAAACCTGAGTAGACAGTTGAATGCATGAGCCTAGAGTTCACAGGAGACGAATATTTAGGTGTCCCTAGCATATATACGTTTACGTAATTGCATAGATCACCCATGTAGAGTTCAGTGAGAGAAAGACTGAGGTGATGATCAGAGAGACATAAGAAATAAAAGAGTGTGGTGGTCTGGAAGCCAAGTGGAAAAAGTATTAAAGCTTTTTTTTTCTTCTCACAATGAGCAGCTATGTGGGATGCTGCTGAGAGGTGAGGTAAAATAAATCAGACAATTGACATTGGATTTGGCAAAGGGTAGTGACCTTGATAAGAACAGTTTCTGTGGACCAATGAGGAGGAAGACATGATCAGAGTAGGTTGATTAGGGAATGGGATGCAAAGCAGAGTGAGTGAGTAACTCTTTTGAGGATTATTGCTCTGAAAGAAGCTAGTTGGTAAATGGGAGTCTACCTGGGACTGTGTATGTAGGATGTCCAGGGAAAAATTAGTATTAGATTTCTAATATTAGGCATATTTGTATATAGATAGGAAATGTACAGTAGTTTGCATTTTATGATTTTGTTTTGTTTTTGTATTGTTTTTGGTCATTGGAACTCAGTGAATTTTATCTGTTGTTTATTGACTTTAGTGTTTAGCTATCCCTTCTTTAAAGTAACTAAAATTTGTAATATGTCACATAAAGCAAAAACTTTATTAATTTTGACTGAAGGAGAAGAGAAAAGCTATATCTAAATTTCTGAAAATATAGAATGTGAAAAATATTTATGTGCCATTTTATTTTTTGAAAATAAAATTCAAATCGGTAAATATTTCAATGTAATGATTATTACTATGTGCATCAGAAATTGCTATTAACTCTTAAATTTCTTGATACAGATGCATGAAGAAAAATGCATAATCTGTTTTCTATCGTTTTTGCATTTTTCCTATTTTTAACACATATTTATACATGTTTTTTATTTGTTAATTTCAACAAAAATCAAGAATCCAAGTATAGATGTTGTTTAACGTACTTTTAAAACTAACAATATTAAACGTTTTCAATATTCTTCTCAAATATGATTTTTAATGGCTGCATAGATTTCCCTTATAGGGATGGACCATAAATTTATCCAATCAATTCTTTATTATAAGATGATTACATTGCTTCTACAAATAGTTTAAAAGTTTTGTTATATGTTTAAATCTATACACATAGACACATATTTATATACACAAATGTATATACATGCATAAACACATGCATATACATGTGAACTCAGAAATCTTTTGCCAGGAGAAACACCCCATCAGGCTGAGAAACTCCATGCCCATTTTTGATGACAAGCCAGGACCTGCTAATCCTGTATTTATTATATGTAAATATTTATGCTGTGGGTTATTTGGGTAGGTATACCTGGATTATTGTATTTCAAAATTAAGTGATTTTCTGAATTTTGTGTGCAAATTTGCATTAATTCACATGCATATTTGCATATAAAATCTGTATGCATTTTTCAAATAGTGCTCTGCAAAATACTTTCTTTTTATCCACTAATAACAAGTGGGTGGGTGTAGTAGGGGAAGACTTCAAATAAGTTTGGTAAATGCTAGGTTAAATAAAGTTAAACAGACTTTTTCAATAACAGGAATTCATGTTTATCAAAATATCATTTACTGATTTATAGTTTTTGTCACTTAAGGAGATGGAAATGAACTTGCTATGATAAGGTACAAAGAGTAGCCCTAATATTTTGGTCATGTAATTAGCTCTTGAATAGGGTCACCTTTTAAATCGTTGAAAGAACAGGGTATGCTGAAAATTCAATTAATGATTTCATTTTGTGATTATCATAAAAATTGCTTGACTTAAAAGTGTTCTCTTTTTTTCTTAAGTGAAGCCTGATCCACCGTTAGGTTTGCATATGGAAATCACAGACAGTGGTAATTTGAAGGTTTCATGGTCCAGCCCAACTTTGGTACCATTTCAACTTCAATATCAAGTGAAATATTCAGAGAATTCTACAACAAGTATGAGAAAAGTAAGTATATTTTAGTAAATAAAATGAAAAGTTGAGAAGCAACTAAAGTAAATGTGAGGCCCATCTAAGTCCCATAGAAAGTGCCCTCATACTAAATGTGCATGTTTCTTGTAGAGCAGAATCAGTTATCATTTAATATCATACTGCTGGTTTTCATTTAAGATCAGCATAGGAAGCAACCATATGAACAGCATTTCTGTATCTTCTGTAAAGTTTTAGAAAAAATTGTTTGATATTACTCAATATCTCTTATATATGGATCCATCTTGTGTATTGAGGAGCATGATACATTCCTCCCAGAATTTAGTGCCAGGGAAATTTCTTCTTCCAAATAGTTTATGTATATTAGATTGATCTCTCTCTCTCTGCTTCCCTTTCCTCTCTCTCTCTCTCTCTCTCTCTCTCCCCCCCCCCCCTTCACTTACACACACACACACACACACACACACACACACACACACACACTTAAATGGCTACAGGAAACTTGAATTCACAATTATAATTTTTTTTTCACCTAAAGATCTACTCTGGTTTCTGGTTTTACATTTAATCTTTTTTTATTGCTCAATATATTTGTTTATATGCAGAGCATGCCTTTATACTATAAAGCGCATCAAATCTTTTCTATTCTTCTGTAAGTATTTATTAAGCACCTACTAAATGTGAAGTACTGTTCTGTTCTCACCAGGATATATTGGGATAGTAGAACAGGATAAGAAGAGTTTGGCCATGCTGGTGGAAGATAGTGGGTTGTCATATTATACGGAAGTGGGGGAAGATCTCATGAGAAGGTGACATTTGAGCAAGGATTTGAAGGAGATGGTTATATAGATATCTGAGAGAATTGAGCTCCAAATAGATAAAACAATAATTCAGATGTCCTAAGCTGAATGAGAAGTTGGAGGCCAGGGAGAGTGAGTTGAGGAGGAAGTTGGAGGAGGGTAAGAGTAGAGGTGGATGAATCAAAGAGAGGTAGGGGATAGTGGTCTAGTTTCATTCTGTTGCATGCGGCTGTAGAGTTTTCTTAACACCAAATAATGTTATTAACCAATGTTATACAACAAACAAACAAATCTTCAATTAAAAAAAGAAAAAACAAAGAGGAGTAGGAGAGGAGAAGGAGGAGATTGTAAAGAGCCTCCTGAGCCATATGAGGAGTTTGACACTTTATAAAAATAATTGTTATGTAATTTAGAGACAAACATCTGTGTTTTTAGATCTGGCCTAACTTTTTTTTTTTTTTTTTTTTACACCTACAGCATTTGGTATTCCTAGGTAGTCTCCCAGCCAAGTACTAACCAGGCCCGATCCTGCTTAGCTTCTGAGATCAGATGGGATCTGGCATGTGGCCTAACTTTTTAAGAGTTTATTTTCATTAAGAGTGGAATGGGCATCCTTAATACTGTGTATGAGAAAAGTAGCGTCAAGGCTTTTCTGGGCTTCAGTTTTCTCATCTGTGAAATGGAGAAAATAGGATTTTTAATACTATAGATGATCCAATAATGTTTAATGCATTTCTAATGTTTTTCACCATTTTCAGTATGTGACGCCCTACAGTCTAAGCGCCTGGAGAGTTCGGTAGTTTTGGAATACATCTTTAGAAAACTTCATTTATTTGCTAAGCAGTTCTTAGCTAGTGGTTGTTTTATGCAGTTAGGTCTCTTAGATATTTTCCCTCTAGCTTGTAAAATGGTATTTTGATTCACTGTAGCTTATCATCAGGCTCAGGTTTTTAATATTATTCATGACATTTTCCTCTGGGAACATTAATAGTTTCCTGAACATTAATAGTTACCCAACACATCACTTTCTACACTGTGTGTTACAGTTGTCAGCAGTGGCTTGAAGCTTCTCACCAACATAGTTATACATCCCACATTTTGAAAGGTCAATATCCATTAGCATCCCATTAAAAATATTTGCTGATTGTCATTGTGATATTTTTTTGGACTTATATGGGCTATTTAACAAAAGTTTTTGACTAATGTGCTAACATTCCAATGTGGCTAGCTAACTACTCTGTAACATTTTAATTCTTTAAAATTTATTGAGACCTACTTGTGATCAGTTTTGGTAAAGCTTCCATGTTGACTTGGAATATTTATTTAACAGACCGATGAAATTGTCTCAGCTACATCTCTGCTACTAGACAGTGTGCTTCCTGGGTCTTCATATGAGGTTCAGGTGAGGGGCAAGAGACTGGATGGCCCAGGAATCTGGAGTGACTGGAGCACCCCTCTTATTTTTACCACACAAGGTAGGTTTTGTAATAATACCTTCTATTAAGAGGGAAACATTTCTGAAGTTGCCTTTGGCATATTGCAAGGATCTTAAATATTGTGGCACTAAACTGAAAGGAGGAACACGATATTAATTTTTTTCAATTTTGAGCAACTTTGTTAATAAAAACTTGTATAAGAGCTCCCAGGTTTATGTGCCTCCATTGCAGTCTCATTACTTTCTTATTTAAAAGATAGAGTTAATATAAAAGTTCCAAATTCACAGATTTAGAGCACTGCTTGTATTGATGTTTCCTTAACTTACATTTTAAAGATCAGATATATTTATTTAATGTAAATTTCAAATATTAATATTTTATTCGAATATTACATATTATATAATAAAATAATTATTTAACTTCAGATACTTGTTTTTAAAAGTTTTAATATTTTTACATTTACCTTTAACATCAGAAAAGCTGCAACTTATTCACAGCTTCCTCATGAAGTTGAGCTGCAGTGTTTTGCATGGAGGCCCTGGAGCCTTAGAATCGTCCTAGCCCTGTCACATGCTAGGCTGTTACCACAGGAATACACTTCCTGGTCCTTTGACTAGTTGTGTGATCTGTCAAACGGGCAAAATTATTCCTACTCAAATTCACTCAGGTTGATTATGGATATAGGAGATAAAAAGTACCCTGTCAAACATGAACACATTTAAATAAATAAAGTTGTTTATTGATTACTTACTATTTAAAAAGCAGTGATTAGTCAAAAAGAAAGTAGCATGAGTAGTTTAAGAGCACTGACTTCAGAGTCTGACAGAAGCTTATGAAGTCCTGGCCCCATCACTTATTTGGGATGTTTCTTACCTTTTTATGCCTTGGTTTCCTCATCTGTAAAATAGGGATGTTTTTATATGGATAGAATGAAATAATGCACATAACATGGTTACTATAGTGGCTTCCTTAACCTTAGTAAGTACTCAGGAAATAATAGACACAATGAGAGTTTATAAATCCACAATTTCAGTATTCAAAATCTCAAAGTCTAATGAAGGTGAGAGATTGACATAATCCATAACTAATTGTTTAGAACAAGTAAGATTGTGAGAAGAGCTTAACAACTGCAAAGCAATGGAAACAATTAATTCTCACTGGGAAAGTATGGTGACCTTGTGTGAACAGATTTAGAAGATAGGAATTTTTCATATCTATTCCCAAATAATTATTGAGTATCATAATGTGTATACTATGATGCTGAAAATGCAGCTTTTGGAGATTTTCTTTTTCTAAGGAAGGTTAAATCTTCCATCTTCAATTATGTATCATTGATTAATGGGTCTTAATGACTAATTGTGAAATATGTAGAGAGGAATGAATTAACATCAAATATCAAAGAATGTCCCATGGTGGTTTCTTTATAGTGGGATGGGGTGAAGTGATTGGTGAAGGGGAAAGTCTGACAGTTTGACAAAGGCAGCAGCCCCAACTCCCGCTCTGAGTGGCCTATGGCTGGCAGCCTTTATTTAACCATCTACTGAAATGTTTCTCTTTCACAAGACACTGACTTTATTCTCTACCGTTTTACTTCTTAATTAGATCTGAAAACCTACCCTCCCTGAAGAGTGAAATTCCAAAAGACTCATCGTTGTTTTTAAAATTTGCTAATATTCAAATTATATCTTAATATTCAAATTATACTTTTCTAGAATGGTGATTCTTAGCAATGTTGTATATTCAGTTGGATTAAGATGAAAATTTTGATCCAGTATCTATAATAGTTTGTGTTACGTTTCACATAAGATTTTATCTTGGATTATTCAACTTCCATTTTTAGACCTTAGGATAGACATACTTTTAGTTCTACTTTACATAAATAAAACCCTTTTATACTTCTATTACCTTCCTAGTTTATGTCAATATCTGTAAGATTAAATTTGCTTGGTTTCTTAAAGTGTTAGATCATATTTTTATGCTTTCGTACATAATGTGATCAGATTTATTAATATGTATTATAAGGCATATACACACATATATGCCCTTCCATATGCAAATATTTAGTGTTTTGTGTCCATGAAGCTAATAAAGATATGTTTCATCAAAAGCAAACTTTGCTAATTTATTTGTTTATACAATACCCAATGATATTATCATTAACAGCTGGCCTTTCGCTTATTCATTCGCCACAGTGGCTTTCTCTCCTGGCTTTAGACATCCCAAACAAAGAAGTATGAAAATAAGTAAAAGAAAATCTGGACAGTGAGTAAATAACTGTCCCAGAGGGTGGAATTTGTTGATTTAGCAATGACTTTAAAGTTAAGCTGATTAATTTAACAAACTTGGATAACTTAGATACCATTCACTGGTAACAGTTGATGATTAAGAGAAAGACAGAAACTTGCCAAAAGAAAGCATATTAGGGACACCAAGAGTGGGGAGAAAAGCTTACACGCTTTAGTAGTTGCAATCACATTTGTCCATTAAAATGTCATCTACTGTAATGATGCAATGATGTATGCTGGATCACAAATAAAATGTATAGTTAGGGTCATAATTCCCTATTGAATAATAATAATGATGATGATAATGATGACAGTTACAGGGTACTTCTTGTGTCTCAGGTACTATTCTAAGTACTTTACATACGTTATCATCTATCCTTTCAACAATCCTGTGAGATTGGTACTGTTATTCCTCTTTTACAGACAAAGAAATTGAGAGTTAGAGTGGTTAAGTAATTTGTAAAAGTTGACAGAATTAGAAAGTAGTAGAGCTGGCAATCTAATTCCAAAGTTCATGTTTATAACCACTAGTACGGCGATTAAGTTCGTAATGTGTAATTATGCAAGATTCCCCGTGGCACTGAAAATCGATACTCAAAGCTAATAAGCAGTAAGCTTAGATACATAGAGCATTTTAGTGGAACACCTTATTTCCTTCATGATTCCTGCTAAACGAGGTTTCACTGTTGCTTAGGTTTTTAAGGTTTCATTTTACTGAATTACCTTTGCGACAATTTCCACACTTAAGGCTTGTTGCCTGAATGGTGTGGAACAGCAAAAAGGTTTTTTCTAAACTTTGGTACTTCCTATTTTTTATGCAAAGGGATTTAAATAATTTTTTCCTTAATTTTAGGTATTCAATATTATTAGCTTCTTAATTGTTCACTGATAGGTGCTAGAATGGCATCCACCAAATGGAAACATTCTGTAAGACTGAGGCGTTAATTTATTTAGAATGAATTTGCACACCTGCTTTATCATTTTCAAATACTTTGGATTTTATTTATTTATTTATTTATTCATTTATTCATCCATTTATTTATTTATTTATTTAATAGCGATTACCTACTGTATTGCTGCCATAGCAAACAGAATGCTAATTATCAGTACCTTTATAGTTACCACTTTTTATTCATTGATGTTATTGATATTAAAGCTGTACCTACCAAGTGCACAGTTAATGAAGCCCTGACTATTCCTAATCAAGAAATTTTTATGGATCCTTGTAAAATGAATTGGCTAAGTTCTTTCTCTACAGCTATTGGGAGGTCTTGGACTTTTGAAAGAAAACTCAGGATCTTACCAGAACTTAGGAAGTCCAAGAATATTTCATTGACGTTATGCTACATACTGAAGACAATTTTAGGAGTGCTGAATTCTTGTAATACCTTTATTAACTGCATGTTTGTTGCTGCCAAAGAGGATAAATAGATATGAGACAATTCTACATTTCATACTTGGCAGCTCTTATAACAGATTAGAGAAAATATTTTCCCCTGAAAAAAAAATTGGTAATCTGCTCAAAGAATTAAAAACTTTGTATTCTGGAGTTATAATAAAGAAACACGTTTTAAAACAACTTTATCTAAAATGTTTTCATTTATGTTCTTTTGAGAAATTCATTAATATTTATCAATAGAGTGTTCTCTTTTAATAAAGTTCATTAATGCAGATCTCGCAAGGTATTGCTAACTTGACCATGAGAGGAAAATCATTATTGTTTTCTTATTTTAAAAATTTAATATTGTATTAAGTAGCTCATGCGAAAATAAAATTATATTATTTAAAACATTAAATATTCAACATTTACCTCATCAATTTTAATATATTTTTATAAATTGTCAGCTTTTTACTGTTTTTTATTTTCGAGCTAATATTTTAGCATCTAATAATGCCAAAATATTTTCACTTTAATCTTATTTTTCAATTAAGCCTTAACTATATGCATTAGATTTTGAAGTGAAATGCTTTGAGTTTTTATTATCTTTAAAACTAAGAGCTTCAACTTAATTTTTAAAAGCTCATTTGTACTCTTAAAAAAATGGATTATTCTGTGACTTTCGAAGCACTTCAGTAATGAGATGTGGATGGAGCATATTCAAGGTAGGTTAATGATCTCTCAGGTCAGTGCTAAGTACTTGGGTGCAGTATGTAATGTACCCATGAGGCTTCAGTGCCATCCTAGGCTAGCTTATAAAGCTAATGGACTGGCTTCTGTCCAATAATTTCATGCTATTAAGTTTTTTCTTGTTTACGTTTAACCATAGACATACAAAACACCAGTGTCTTATATAGATTGTAAATATGAAGACGCTGAAATTCAACATGCTGTTAAGAAAACAAGAAAAGGCCATAAAGTTTTTTTGATTTTGTTTTTGGGGGTGATCCAGATGTTATATATGAGAACAAATGTTCATATTTTATCAGTAGAAAATAGGTTACTTTAAATTGTACAATTGACATATACTGATTTTATAATGTACTCTGGCAGAAATAATTTCTTCCTATATTAACAGGCATTTACTTTTATTGTTTCTAATTGAAATATAGGTAAACTATGTTTCTAACAATAGAAAACTGAAAAAGTAATATGGAATAGTATATAGACATTAAAAATGATATTTTAGAAAATATTGGTTTCTCTTGTCCTCAACCACAGGAAACTGGCATTAAGCAACTCAAAACAATACTGCGATTGGTAATATACAGACTTGCTTTGTATATCGGTGCAACATTAATTTTACATTTCCTAACTATTTTTCTTATTTAAAGCTTATTTCTTTACTTTACCCGCTAACTTGAAATTTACACGTATCCAAATGAGATAATAGCAATCACCATTTTTTCTCCCAGGATTTTGTAGTACAAGCGATTTAAGAACTCGCCCTAAGCTTCACTGGTTCTCAGAGTCTGATGGAAGACATGTTATTGTGCAATAGACTATATTTAGTTTTCATTAATTTTCTACCTATCAGTTAGCAAGTGACTATTGCTCACTAATGCGTATTTTATAATAAATAAATCTCTATGTTTAGAAAATACTGAAGACATTTATGGAAGCTCAAGTCATTTGAGAATAGGAATGCTTGGGACACTAACTGCACAAACAGGCAATTACAGTTTTGCAATCTCTTAACACTCATTTTATTTTGGTAATGTAATTCTGAATGTATTATGAATTTTTTTATATGGTGTCAATTACTTACATGATGCGTTCTGTCTTCTTCTGATATTCTACCTTTCTTACCTCATTACAGATGTCATATACTATCCACCTAAAATTCTGACAAGCGTTGGGTCCAACATTTCTTTTCACTGCATCTACAAAAATGAAAACAAAATTGTTTCCTCAAAAAAGATTGTTTGGTGGATGAATTTAGCTGAGAAGATTCCTGAAAGCCAGTATAATGTTATAGATGACCATGTTAGCAAAGTTACTTTTCCCAATTTGAATGCAACCAAACCTCGAGGGAAGTTCACCTATGATGCAGTGTACTGCTGCAATGAGTATGAGTGCCACCATCGCTATGCTGAATTATATGTGATTGGTAAGGATGCTGAGGTTTTCTTCATTTTGTTCCACAAGGCAAACTCTTATTATAGACCCTATGTTAGAATTCCATTGAAGATGTAAGGAAATTTTATTTTCATTAAAATTTGTTGGTGTTTTTTGCTCTGTATTAATATTTTAATGTGTTTTAAATAGATGTCAATATCAATATATCATGTGAAACTGATGGCTACTTAACTAAAATGACTTGCAGATGGTCAACCAATGCAATCCAATCACTTGTGGGAAGTACTTTGCAGTTGAGATATCATAGGTATGTATTATTTTTGCTCTTTTATTTTTCTGAGAATATGGTGAGATAACAATTTCCCATAGAAATATCACCTTAACAGTAGACTTGTAGATTTCCTTCCTGAAAGAGGAAGGTAGAATTATACTTAATTAGGAAACAGTAATTACTATTGTAGCCATCGAAATGCCATATTCAGAGCAAATAGTGGCAGAGGGCTATTTCAAAGAAGAGGAGAAGTGCTTTGTATGTTCCAACGTGGAATGTTGATAGGGAGTCAGTTATAAAAAAAATATTTTCTTGATTTTTTTCTCTGAGAAAAATAAATGATATACTTGACTATATGATTCATATAGGAATCAAGAATTGGTTTTTTAAAAATTATATTGCTTTCAACTAGAAAATATTAGGACACTGTGATTCAGCTGTAATTTATCATCAACCGTGTTTTGTTTACCTTGGAATTTAATTCATATTGAAAGTGTAAGGAATTTACCTGCCTTCCCATTTTGGGAATGTCCCATTACTATTATGATCTATCCTTTTAAATTGTATCACTTTGGTACAATATTAGCTTAGCTTTCAAAGTGTTATAGGTTCTATCTCTGCGTCATTATCTCCTTGTTAGAGCAATGTCATTTATATCATTTGCATCCCCACTTAGTGAAATATTTAATAAGGATTACTGTCTTTTTTTGTGGAAAGGCAAGATTGTAATGTAGCTGGGAATTTAAAAACACTGTTTTCAGATGGAGCCAAAACTCTGCCTTTTAAACATCAAAGCAGAATTCTCAAGTATCTGACTGCTTTCATCAATGTTGTATATTAATTGACTGTTTTCATATCTTTCAAGGAGCAGACTTTACTGTTCTGATGTTCCATCTATTCATGCCATATCCGAACCCAAAGATTGCCATTTGCAGAGAGATGGTTTTTATGAATGCATATTTCACCCAATCTTTCTATTATCTGGCTACACAATGTGGATTAGAGGACACTGTGATTCAGCTGTAATTTATCATCAACCGTGTTTTGTTTACCTTGGAATTTAATTCATATTGAAAGTGTAAGGAATTTACCTTCCTTCCCATTTCAAGAATGTCCCATTACTATTATGATCTATCCTTTTAAATTGTATCACTTTGGTACAATATTAGCTTAGCTTTCAAAGTGTTATAGGTTCTATCTCTGCTGGGTCATTATCTCCTTGTTAGAGCAATGTCATTTATATCATTTGCATCCCCACTTAGTGAAATATTTAATAAAGATTACTGTCTTTTTTTGTGGAAAGGCAAGATTGTAATGTAGCTGGGAATTTAAAAACACTGTTTTCAGATGGAGCCAAAACTCTGCCTTTTAAACATCAAAGCAGAATTCTCAAGTATCTGACTGCTTTCATCAATGTTGTATATTAATTGACTGTTTTCATATCTTTCAAGGAGCAGACTTTACTGTTCTGATGTTCCATCTATTCATGCCATATCCGAACCCAAAGATTGCCATTTGCAGAGAGATGGTTTTTATGAATGCATATTTCACCCAATCTTTCTATTATCTGGCTACACAATGTGGATTAGGATCAATCACTCTTTGGGTTCACTTGATTCTATCCCCACATGTGTCGTTCCTGATTCTGTGGGTATGTTAAACTGTGTTGTGTGTGTCTTCATTTTTATTAGTATGTTTGGATTTAGGTCAATTCAGGGTATTTTACCATTTTCTGATTATATTAGATTAAAAATTTTTTTTCCTGTTTATAGTGGAATTGAGAAGACAATCAGCCTTAGAAAATTTTACAGTTTTGTTTTTAAATTATTTATCAAACAACTTTTAATCAATAGAAGTATTTCACATACTTTTTGATGAACTATATTGGTCATTAGGAATTAAATTTAGTAATATTTTTCTAAATAATGCACTACTTTATGTTTTTCTCCCAATGTACTTATGAAAACATTTGGTGTTTTTAATCTAAAAGTTTAATTTTGGTATTCTGATAGTTTTCATAATCTGAATAACAACCCAAGGCTTTATGAAGCTGCGTAGGAGCAAAAGAGTTCAAAATAACTAAACTGAAGTGAAGAAAAGAAAATAGAGAAATATGATAACATCATATTTTAAACACTCTTTATAAAAGATATTTTGATTTCAAAAGATTAAGAGAGCCCTGGGAAAATTTGATATATCCCCGTGGTTTCACTATGAAATCTTTGCTCTGACTTTGGCCTCGAAATACTTAGTAATAAAGAATAGGAGAAGAGTTTGAAACTTACACATGTGGAAATGAATGCAGTGCATGTTTTTTTTGTTTTACTTCAAGCTCTATGTAGAACAGTTTGCTATTGATATTTATTATGTGTTCGATATGGTATCTTTTGCATTCGGAGCCAATGGCTCAATTTCTAATCAGGTCTTACTATTAACTTGCAGTGACGTGACATGTATTGATTTTTTTTAAATCAGCTTATCTACTTGCAAAATAGAGATAATCCCTTTCATATGTATCTCATAAAGTTGTAGGAGATTAAATGAGACAAAGAATGAAAAAGGTTTGAAAGAGAAATATTGCTTTATAAATATAAAGTATGAAAATCATAACACCATAATAATGCTTTTTCAACATTATTACTGTTGTATAATACTGTTTTTTAAATTTTTAGTGAAACCACTGCCTCCATCTAGAGTCAAAGCAGAATTTACTGTAAAACTTGGATTATTGAAAATATCTTGGGAAAAGCCACTTTTTCCAGAGAATAATCTTCAGTTCCAGATTCGTTATGGTTTAAGTAGAAACGAAGTACAATGGAAGGTACCTTTTACCTAGAAATTTCTTTAACTTGCTTCATTAAATGTATTTCTTAAAACATTTAAGAATTTTATTACATAAGATTTATTTTTTTGGCATAAAAATACATATTCCTGTATTCCGTAGCTACTTTTCTTAAATAGATTGCTCTAAATTTAACCCTTTCAAGGAATGAAGTTTCCTACAATCCAGCATTTTCCAAAGTGAGTTTTATAAAACATTGGTCCCTCAAAATGTTCTTTGGGAAATGATCACGTGGCTAAATAAGTTTAGGAAACCTTACATCCCTGTATGTCCCTAGTTTAGGGTCACAGTATATTACACATTAAAGGTTTGGAGAGGTCCTGCACTAAAGAAACATTTGTAACTTTATTTCATCTTGTCTTTCTCATACTCATTTACTAAGGACCCTTTTTCCTCTAACATCTAATAATATTCGTTAGTACACATATGTTCAACGGAACACATTTTGGAAGAAGCTACTTTTATTAAAAGACCAGAAACATACCAGTGGCAAGTGTGCATGTGGTGACTTGCCATGTCAGTTTTCTGATGGCAACCTTCAAAGACCTAGAACTATCAGGAACCCTAACCACATCATTAGATCACAATGATTTCAACTGAAATGAATGTGACTGTTTACCTGCTTATTTGGGAGACTGAATATCAGAGATTCATTATAGCAGGCCCTATTAAACTACCACTGGCTTAAAATTCTTTAAAGTTTTTATGAATAGAGGATTAGTGGACAAAAATTAGTAATAGGGTTAAGAGGGTGATTGGGAGGTGAGGTTGCAAGTGAACCAGTCCAAAGCTTGTCATGAGAAGGAAATAAGAGGACTAAGACAATCCTTAGTTTGAAAGGATGCACGATTTAAGCCTAAAATGAGTATTTCCAAAGCCAGAAGACGCAAAGACAATTCCTTCTTAATTTTGAAATAGTGTTAAGGTTTAAAATAAAATGCACTTCAGGGCTCTTTAGCTACATGTATGTTAGTAATGGTCAATCTAATGCTTTGATTTATTTTACAGATGTATGAGGTGTATGATGCCAAATCAAAATCTGCCAGCCTCCCCGTGCCAGACCTGTGTGCAGTCTATGCTGCTCAGGTGCGCTGTAAGAGGCTGGATGGACTGGGATATTGGAGTAATTGGAGTATTCCAGCTTACACAGTTGTCATGGATATAAATGGTCTGTAGAGATTTTGTAAATGTGTTTTAAACTGCATAAGTGTGCAGTTTCAAATATGACTGAAAAACACTCCTCCCAAGAACACAAGTACAATGTAGGCTCCTTGTCATTTTGCAGTTCCTGTCAGAGGACCTGAAGTTTGGAGAATAATTGATGAAGACACCACTAAAAAAGAGAGAAATGTCACTTTACTTTGGAAGGTATTACTGCTTTTTATGTTATTCTTAAAATTTGCCTTTATACTCTTAAAAGATTCACTTCATTGTTCACAATCCTGTCATTTTTAGACTCTGCAATCTCATATTTCATTTAAATTTTGAAACGTGATCGCAGAGAGCTAAGATCCGTAGTGGAGAAAGCACTAGCACAATGGGAGACTTTAATTCTATTCTCAGGTTAACATGTTATAGTTCTGTCAGTTCTGTTTTGGCAAAGTCACTGAGACTCTTTGTACCTCAGTTTCCTCATCTGTAAAAATGTTGGATTGTTCTAGATGATATCTAGTGTTCCTTCAAGTCCAAAAATTCTATTTATATTTAATCCTAAACAAAGCAAATGTGGCCTTCCCTACATGCCTCAAGGGCATTTAAAACAAGAGATATTCTTTTTGTATGATGGCATATAAACAGTGGTTATTTCCATAAACAATGGATATTCAGCCTAGCAATTTTCAAAGCATTCTCTCTTCCAAATGAATTGACTTCTATCCCAAGTGAATGGATTGTTTTGTTTGTTTTGTTAGAATTGTGGAGAGACACAAACATTCGGTCCATAGCAAACATCATTTTTTCATTAGGGAATTATAAATTTAAACAACAATGAGATGCTACCACATACTTCTTAAAATGGCAAAAATCCACAAAAATGAAAAAAATTGCTGACAAGGATGCAAAGCAACAGGAACTTTTATTTTTTGCTGGTGGAACTGCAAAATGGTACAGCTACTTTGGAAGATAGTTTGGTAGCTTCTTACAAAGTTAAGAACAGTCTTATCATATGATTCAGTATTATAGTATTAGATATTTATCAAACTGATTTGAAAACTTGTGTCCGCATGAAGATTTGCACATACATGCTCATAGCAGCTTTATTCATAATCCCCCTAAAGTGGAAGCAACCAAGATGTTTTTCTATAGCTGAGTGGATAGACAAACTGTGGTACTTCCATACAATGGAATGTCATTCAGTGATAAAAAAGAAATTGCTCTAAAGCCACAGAAAGACAGGTTGGATCCTACATGCATGTAGCTCAGTGCTAGAAGCCCATGCGAAAGGGCTACATAATGATTCCATTTATATGACATTCTAGAAAAGGCATAACTGTAGAGATGATAGATCAGTGTTTTTTAGGAGTTCGGCTGAGGGGAAAAAGTTTGAATAAGTGAAGCACAGGGGATTTTTTTTATGTTGGTAAAACTGTTCTTTATAATATTATCATGGTGAGTACATAGCACTATGCATTTGCCAAAACCCACAGAACTTTATAACACAAAGAAGAAACCCTACTGGATACAAATTAGAAATAAATCATTTAGGAGGTTGGAAGATTCTGGAATGGAATCTAGACTGACAAAAGAATGTCTAACTATATTACAAGAATACAAAAAAAAAGGTGAGAGAAAAAGGTGTAGGCCTAAGTAACTTTGTAAATGAGTGGATTCTTAAAACTAAAGCCAAAGGAAACAGTATGTGTGTACCAGGTTCTAGCTGATAAACTTATTTAGTATGGAATGGGGGTCAACAGTTTTTATACCACTATACGCATAAACTGGGATTGACTAATTAAGGAGGTGGATGTGGGTGGTGGGACCTAGGTTTTTCTCTGTTGAACTAGTTATAGAAAATAAGGGGGAAAAGACCAGAATGAGCCATGTGGTAATGGATTAGCGTTGGAGACACCAGTAGAAACTCCTGTTTAGCTTAATATGGATTCATTTAGAAATATTTATAGATATGTATAATACAGGGCTTAGCATACACACATAGACTTCCTTGCTTTGTAAACCAAGAAAGCCTTGGTATAACAGCACTCCAGCAGTAAGGAGCATGCCCAGATTTGTTCCTAATACCATCCTCCAATAAAAAGAACTAAGGTTCCTTGAAAAATGGCTAGTTATAGGGCTGAGGCAGAAAATATACGAGATGAGCCTAGAGTACCTTTGTAGTACCAAAAAGTAAGGAAGTTTGTCATTATTTTTAATTGATGGCTACAAAAGTGAATATCTGTTTAGAAACTGACATAGATTTTTAAAAACAAAATGTAAAATATGTTTTACTTTTCAGACCCTTTTTTCTTGCAGTGGCTGTAAAAATCTCATTCCCCATTTATCGAGATTATTCGAAAACCTCTAGATATACATGTCTATGTGTTCATTTATGTTTATTTTTTCTCTGATATTTCTGACATATAGGAATCTCAATGACAAAAATTAAAAAAAGAAGTTGAGAAGCACTGTTCTAGTCTATTGTATGGAGTCAAGCTTTCTTTAGGTTTACAAGGACTGGCAGCACTTATTCTTACCTGAAACAGGTGAAGGTGATGGGTGAAGTAGTATATTCTGTAGAATTGAACTAAATAAGTATTTTCCACTGAAATTTCCAGTGACCTGGTATGATTTTTTTAAACTATAGGATGAAAATTCTGAGCGCCATATAAACTGTCCTAATAGCCTCTGTTACCTGAAGTGGCAGCATATCAGGGGAAGGGAAAATGAATGACAACTTATTGGGATTAATATATGTGATGATTAACATCTTTTCAGCTTTCTTTTTATAAAATCAGAAGGTTTTTTTTTTTTTTCTTTTTTTTAGATGAGAAAACTCTCAACTGCCTGGCAATCTTTTTTTTTTTTTTTTTTAGAATTAAAGTGAAACTTCTTGATAGAAAAGCTATCTGTTTGTATCCATACTTCATTATCTTTCAGTGATTTATTCTCTGAATCTTAAGAAAAAAACCAGAAGGAGGATAATAAGTTTCCTGTGGTCCATACCCACCCAAGCCTCTGGTCAGAGGTGGACCTACCCTTAACCCACTCCCCATACCTCAGCCTGGAAATAGGCAATGCTTGCTCTGGTCTGACCCCTGCCTCCCAATGGGAAATATGTAATAAGAGCTCCATGAACTTCGTTGGTATAAAAAGCACTGTAGCCCTCAAACTAATCAATTTCTATGTTTATTACAGCCCCTGATGAAAAATGACTCATTGTGCAGTGTGAGAAGATACATGGTAAAACATCATACTTCCCGAAATGGAACATGGTCAGAAGATGTAGGAAATCACACTAAATTCACTTTCCTGTGGACAGAGCAAGCACATACTGTTACAGTTCTGGCCGTCAATTCAATTGGTGCCTCTTTTGCAAACTTTAATTTAACATTCTCATGGCCTATGAGCAAAGGTAAGAAAAGGTACAGGCTAGGAAACTACTGCTCCCTTTGATATTTGCAAACTCCTTCCATTCTAAATGGTCTTCTAAGAAGCCTGTGATTCTCTGAATCTAGAAGTCTCTCTTTCCGCTTGATTTATTTATTTATTTTGTCTGAAAAATAAAAAACTAAACTGCACTCTAATTTTGTCATACAGTCCTTGGATTTTCATGTAGTAGAACATGGTTGAAATGGTATTATAATAAGTGTGAATTTTCTACTAAATCTAATACTTAGACCTTTTGGACCAACAGGAGAAAAAAGTTTGGAGGGAATTAAGATGATCAATAAGCTTGTACAGTATTCTAGTGGAGAACACCTTTTTCACTATACCCCCAAATCACTTTTTTATATGTTTGGTAGACTCTTGTTTTTCCTCAATAGCATATATTTCTATATTTCTCTGCTTATGTGACTCTTGTAATAAAACAATAATAGTCATGTATTGTATCTCTGTGTAAATGTCTGCCTTCTCTTCCTTCTCCCTTTTTCTAGTAGTTATATATTCTTCAGGGATATTAGGGGATTTTTATTAATTTTGATTTTAAAAATAAATTTCCTTCTTTTCCCCTCAGTAAATATTGTGCAGTCACTCAGTGCTTATCCTTTAAACAGCAGTTGTGTGATTCTTTCCTGGACGTTATCACCCAGTGATTACAATCTGATGTATTTTATTCTTGAGTGGAAAATTCTTAATGAAGACAATGAAATTAAATGGCTTAGAATCCCTTCCTCTGTTAAGAAGTATTATGTCCATGGTAAGTTTACTGAACTTTAATAAGTTTCTCTTATGGATTAGTACGATAGTATAAATGATTAATTAAATTAATAAGCCAGTTAATTAATACTTCAAAAATATAGATGATATTACCATCTTAATACATGTAATTTTATCACCTTACCACAAACATTTAATTCTATTTCATTTGATCCTTTTTCATTTAAATGTTTTACAGTTGTCATCATATTATATTATCTACCATTTTTCTTCTGATTTGTTCCTTTGATATATCACAAGCATGTTTCTATTTTCCCCCAGTCCCTTTAACCATTATTTTAAATGATCACATAGCATTGTATTCCAAAATCTACTTAAATTATTTATTTGAAAATATTTACATCACTTCCGGCTTTACTTTTTTCTTTAAATCACTTTGTAATAGCTTTTGCTATCTTCTGCCAAGTTGTTTTCCTAAATTATGTGCCAATTTATAATTCCGCTAGCAGTGAGAGTACCAGGCTGAAGGTCTAAGGATCCAGGACCTAGGGGCATAGGCCAGTGTAAACTCCCAAAAGTAGACCAGTTACCCCAGGAGGAGATTAAAGTACAAAGTTTAAGTGCACCACACATCACCTCCAAGTCTGGGTAAGGTTTAAGTATAAAGAAGCTGAGGATTGCCATGATCTTATTATACAATGTCATCCTGAGTACTTAAAGACCTAGAATTTAGCATTAAGGTAAATAGAAACAAATTATTAATAGAGAACTAAATTCATTTCATTACCACTGTTGTCCAGGTTGTTACTCTCTGTGCTTTTCTTAAAACCATGTGGTATAGCATTTAAGTTTCTAAGAGATTTATGCCTTGTGGAATATTATATATTAGTAGCATTTGTACAAAAGATTATTCATAGATTCATTTTGAGCTTTGTTATAGAGATGGTCATCCTCCAAGAATCTAGACTCCTGGATATTGCAAGGAGATCCCTGGTCCTTACCCCCCATCTACTTTGTATAGGATTTCACAAGACTCTAGTCTCCCAGCTCCCTTGAACGGGGAAACTAAGTAAGCTAAATTCCTATGTAAAGGGAATATTGCTGGTTTGGGGGATATAGGAGAGGAGGTAAAGCATATTGTCCTGGACAGATAAACAAAACAATTCATATACCCTGAACTTGAACAAAGTGGCTATCACCGGAACATACCTTTGAAAGATTGTTATCTTTTATCTTTGAGTAAGATTTAAAAAATTATTTGTAAAATCATTGTCATTACTAGGAGAATTTAGAGTGCGTAGGTTGTTTTTGAAACTTTCTTAATCATCAGTTTACATCCATACATAACAAGTAATTTCTATGTTTGGAAATATAGTATGGTCGTATAAATTTTTTTACATGGATTTCACTCATTTGTATTAATTCAGTAGAAATGACCCTTTAATATGTTTTTCTCCTCAGATTATTTTATTCCCATTGAGAAGTATCAGTTCAGTCTTCACCCAATATTTATGGAAGGAGTGGGGAAACCGAAGATAATCAATAGTTTTGCCCGAGGTAAAAATTTTAACTTTTATTTTTTTTAATACAGCTGTGTGGCTTTCTATTTAGTAACAATGTTGCCACCTTATTATTCTTCTAATGGAATCATGGAAGAGTCTAGAGTCGTATGTAGATGTCACAGGGCAATGTGGGAAGGGCACATGGCTCCATGGTGGTAGTAAGAAGGAGAATAATCAGTCATGGGATTGAATTTTTATATTGGTAAGTAAAATTTTCAGTCTCAAATTGGGTAAAAAGTTGATGAAATAAAATAAATGGATATACACAGCTATGTAATAAAATACATCTTCATAAAAATTAATTAGGAAAGTATTAATTTTTGGTACAATTAATATAAATGCACTTTTCCCAAACAATATGTTTGGGGGCATATGTTTGTAAGTTCGTAAATTTTAATTGGTCTTTTAAAGTAAATATTTTTTTGAACAACGAACATTAGTCTCTGCCTTTACAGAGCTTAACCTCCAGTACTGTAATGGGAGTGACAGATAATAAACAAATCATGTCAGGTAGAAATAAGTGCCATGAAGCAAAAGAAAAGTAAGATGAAGGAATACATTTAAAATGTGGTGCGTTAGTTAAGATGGCCAAAATTGGCTCATTTCTCTGTGCGGGTGGTATTTGAGTAAAGCCCCACAAGTACAAAAGGGAAGAGCATTTCAGCAAAGGGATATAACATGTGCAAAGGCCCTGACGAGTGAGCATGCTTGGTGGTTCAAGAGACAGCAGGGAGGTCAATGTGTCTGGAGTGAACAAGACAGAGACTGGCTGATGTTGTAGGTGGTCTTCTGCAGAGCAGATGCTGAGACAGTCATTATAACAACTTTAATTGGCAGTTTGGCTCATGCAACCTAGAAATGATCAGATAGAGAGAGTTGGCAAATAAGTAGTTTTGAAAATATGTTTTGCTAGATTACAATAAGCGTAATTCTGAAAAAAAATAATTGTTTTGTTAATGTGATCACAACTATACTTTTATCTTCTTTTTTATTTTTATGTTTTAGAGGTAATATAGACTTGTGATGAAATCAGAAAGTCTTGAAATTTTTGGTACAGAAAGATATTATTTCCTCAAGCTTCTGAATCATATATTTTTTTTCAGATGATATTGGAAAACACCAGAATGATGCAGGTCTATATATAATTGTGCCAATAATTATTTCCTCCTCAATCTTGTTGCTTGGAACATTGTTAATGTCACATCAAAGGTACTGTAGTCATTAAGAATTTTCAGCATATTTAAACTTCAGTTTAAAATAGAAATCAGAAACATTAAAGTATTCTACATATTTTTTGTATAATTAAGATGGCATAAAAAGAAAAGGTCTGTTATTAGTTAAAGGCAAAAGATTTATACAATCTGAAGAGAAACCAGAGCATATAAGGTCTGTTATTAGAAAACCAAATTCCATTTTGCTTGCACAACATGAACCTCATGGAAGAAATTCATTTTTCTGTGTATAAATATTCAGGAAATAGCAAGCCTGTAGCAGGAAATTTCAGGCGGTATATTCGTGGAGGTGGCAGAAATGGCTTTCAGAGTTGTACAGTTTGGGTCGAGGATTTTAGTGGTGAAAATTTACCTGGAGCAGTCAGTTCACTTATGATTAGTAGGTATTCTGCTTTGTGGTGCTCCAGTGTGTCTGGTTTGGCAAATGGCCTCGAATTTCTTGTGGTTCTGTGCGTGCCACATTACTCTGTGCTTAGAGGTCCAGACCAGTGAATTTATCTCACAAATGATGAGTCTCTACAGAAACATTTGTTTTCTAGCAAAAAAAAGTGAGAGTAGATTTTAGAATTTATCAGTCAACTGAGCTGATGGGGCCATATTGAGTGGAATTATTTCTGAAACTCGCATGATGGCTGTTTTTAATATTTTATTTTCTCTGAGAAAAACCTATGCACGGTGCCTGGCACACAACTTTCAATAAGTGTTAGCTATTTTTATTATTATAATGATTATTGACATGTCTAGACAGCTTGTTGGTAGAGATCTTCATGTGATAGCATTTGAAAATGAATCTGACCCTATTGAGGCATAGCTCTGATGGATTCGTTTCTAGTTTATACATTCATTAACTGTTAACATTTTCAATATGAATGTTTTTCTCTAATTCTAATACCTTATTTATCCTTTCTAGAATGAAAAAGCTGTTTTGGGAAGATGTTCCAAACCCCAAGAATTGTTCCTGGGCACAAGGACTTAATTTTCAGAAGGTTCCCCTTTCAATTTTCTTAACCCAAAATATATAAGATTGCATTTTAGATGCCATATGCCTTCTAGAGCTTTAAACATTCTTAAGGTTTAAAAGTTCTTATTCTAGTCAATTCATTTTAATATGAGTCTAACTAATCTACTATTTATTTAAGAGTAGCAGGATGTAAGGATTTGAAACCAGGGAAAACAAAATTTAATAGGTAGCTTATCACATGAAAGTTAATAATATACATACATATCTTTTCTGTCACAGTGCAGAATAAAACAAATATTAGAATATTAGCGGTTAAATCTGGTGGAGAACAGCTATTTGGATATTCTTTTTTGGTATAAATTGATTGTCCTTAGGCAAAAGGCTGGAATCAATACTTAATTTTAGTATCAATAATTATCTCCATAATTATTTAAATCAATTCAAAAATGATATAAATAATCCTATCCTCAAACACCACAATTTGAAAAATCATAATCAAATTTACACTTATGCAAACAGTTCTTTTCAAGCTAAAGTACTTAATGAAATAATTTGTCCACTATAATAAAATAATTTGTACTTATGTCTATAGTATAATTTCTCAGAAAATTCTTGAGGTTAGCGAACGTTTTATGAACTCTCAAAATTTGAAGCAAGATTGGTTTTTCCACCCATAAAACTGGGGAAATAGAGATTTAGTTTTCGTGTCAAATAGCTACATGATAGTTTAAACAATAATCATATGGAGGTTATTATGCAGTCTCAGTAATTGCATCTTTGTAGGAGTCACTGTTAAAAGTCTTTAGTGGTTTCCTTTTAGCTACAAGATAAAGTACAGTCCCTTTAAACTAGTACTCAATCACTTCTCTCTACAATGTCAACTTTCCAACTTTCCAATTTTTTTCTGTCCCTAGGCCTCGATCATGCCTTTACTATTCCCTTCTACCTCTACAGATCCTTCCACATCAGCAAAGATCTTTCTTTAGGCTCTTCTTTCCTCAAACCCTCCTTTAACAAATGTAGTTCAGAAGAATTTCTCCCCCTTGCTAAGTTCCCCGGACTTATTGTTTAATTTATTGTGAACAGTGTTCTGAGTTCAAGGGCTATATTTTACTCATTACAAATATTTGTTGAACTCCTCCTGCTATAGGCAAGGCATTAAAGTCAGCAATTAATGTAGGATTTCATTAAAGAATTGTTGGTAATGCGTCATTATAATTTTTGCTGATTTATGTGCCAATCCTCGAGATACACTCTTATATTTATTAATATTTTACTTCAATTCTCAGTGTTTTAGTTTCCTCTCCTATAAAAGAAGGTAAATAGAACTTACCTCATAGAGTTGTTTGGGAGATTAAAGCAGATGGTACTTATAACATAGTAAAGTCTCAGTAAATATTATTAGTTATTATTCTTTCAGTTTCCCTGTGGAATAAGTATCATTATCTCCATTTTATAGAAAACTGAAGATTATAGTAGTTAGGTAACTTGATTTAGAACCAGAATTAGCTGACTAATTTGTCTGACTTTGGAGCCTGTTTTACTAGTAACTGTTCTAGCAGCGGCTTTCAATATTTTTTTTTTTACAATGACTCACAGTGAGAAATACATTTGACCTTGCACCTAGTACATGCATAGATGTAACTATACAGAACTGAAACAAAAGATGCTCAAAACAGTTTTATTATTTGCGGTGCCCTCTATTTTCAAAATTCTGTTTCAGTTTTTAAAAATACTTGTTGCAACCCACTAAATATATTTCACATACTAATGGCCTATGATTTACAGTTAGAAAAACACTGATTTACAGCTTATCAATGAATGAATGAACAAGTATATAATATTATAGATGGAACAATGCAAAAGATTAAATTGTAATCTTTCAGCAGAAGGGATACTTCCCTATCTTCAGACCAGGCAGCAATTTAGTTTAGCGTATAATTATTCCCTTTACAGAAACTTCCTCTGCCTTAGTCTAATCAGCCCAATGCCTCGATACTCTTCGGCTATCACTTTACTCACTATAAGCCATGGAGTCTCCTTTCATTAAAACAGAGCTGCTGATTTTTTTCAGTTGGTAAAATATTTATTCCTCTCTTTTCTCTTCCATTATGAATATAACATTTTTGGGAGTTATAGCAGTATTTCAACCATATATTTATTCGTCATTCATTCAGTTGTTCAACAAGCACATAGCGAGTATTTATATGTAAGTCTAGGCTGCTGCTAGGCTCTGGGAAAACCAATTTTTTAGAGATTCTTCTTACCATAGAGGAAGTAAGACAGTGAAGTCATCATAGAGGGGTGGCTGATTTGAAAGCAGAATATTCATTTTTAAATTTATTCATTAATTCACTTCATTCAAGGACTATTTATTGAATACCTATCCTATGCCAGTTGCTGTGCTAGGCCCTGGGGTTATAATGATCAGAAAAATAGGAACTCCTGGAATGTACATTCCATTCACACTGGGAAAGATAATCACTAATATATTTATAATGGAAATGATATTATAATTTTAAACTACATGTAGTGAAAGAAAGAAGCCCAGTGTGCTAAGAGCTTAGTGTGTGAGTTGGAGGCGAGCAGGTAAAGATAGGAAAACATTTTTTTCCTCAGTTTTATTGAGATATAATTGACATACGGCATGCTATAAGTTTAAGGTGTACATCATAATGATTTAACTTACATATATTGGCAAATAATTACCATAATAAGTTTTAACACCTATCATCTCATGTTGGTATAAGAAAGAAAAAAGTTTTTTCTTGTGGTGCGAACTCTTAGGATTTACTCTTTTAACAACTTTTATATATATCATACAGCAGTGTTAACTATAGTCACCATGTTGTATTTACATCCGTAGTACTTATTTATCTTGTAAGTGGAAGTTTGTGCCTTTTGACCAACTGAGTCTAATTTCCTTTCTCCCTACTCTACACAAATCTGATCTTTTTTTCCGAGTTCGATATTTTTTTAGATTCCACATGTAAGAGAGATCATACAGTATTTGTCTTTCTCTATCTGACTTATTTCACTTAGCATTATGCCCTCAAAGTTCATTCATGTTGTCACAAATGGCAGCATTTCCTCCTTTTTATGGCTGAATAATATTCCATTGTATGTATATACCACAATTTCTTTATCCAGTCATCTGTTGATGGACACTTAGCTTGTTTCATGTCTTGATTATTGTAAATAATGCTGGGGAAGCAACGTTTGAGCTAAAGTCTAGAAGACGTATAGACTTTGACAAGGTTTTACGGTGGAGGGGCAGAGCCCAGGTAAGGACACTTGCACATAAATACCAAGCTATGTGGTAGGAAGGACCTCAGCACATTCACAAGCTGCAGCTAGGGAGAATAGAAGACAAAGAGTTAGAAAGAGGTATTTCTTTTTAAATGTGAGGATTTTTCTTATATGAGAGTTTTTTGGTCAAAAATATCTAAATATCTAAATAAAAAATTAAAGCTTCACTGTATAGGTACATATTCATGCAAGGGATAACCATCTTACTGTCTGTTTAAAAGAAGCTAAAACATTTTTCTCTTCAACATGTTAAGCTCTGAAAATTTCCCCATGAACCACTGTGAAAATGGTATCCAGGTGTTTACCAGGACAGGGAAATGATTGGGTCCACCTCAGGAAAATGCTCTTTGAACCTGCACCAAATGATCTTTACCTTTTCCAGAAAATGCCTGACACAAAAGAACCATTTGGTGGATGTCGATCGAATCAGTGAATGTTTGTAGACTAGCCGCTACCTCACTGTGTCACATACGCCTCCTATAGATCAGCATTGTGCCACAGCAGGTCATCTAACAGACATTACATACAAACAGACTAAAATATCACCAATTTTTTTCAGGTCCTGGTAAACTAAAGAAGTGTGAAAAGTTTTTAAGGTACTTATAGTGGATGTGAATGCCCTTATTTATAAGTCCGATTATTTTAAACTGCTGCAAATATTATACTTGATAATCTTATAAGATATTCTTTAAGCATAACTAACCCTCAAGATGCTTAGTTTATTACTAGGGCTTAACAAGTGCACAGATAACACAACTAGGAATAAATCAGTTTTTGGAATATAGAAGGAATATTTGAAGACTGGAAAAGAATATAATTTCAAGGATCTTACTAATGATAAACTTCTAAAATTCAGTATATATATTACATCTCACTACTTTAATCTAAATAAAATTTACTTTTTTAGGGAAAAATAATACAGTATGAATCATGTATTATTAATAAAGAGTATGAGGCAAATTAACTAACAGCTCTGTGCTTTCATATTCATATTACTTTATTTCTGTCATAGGCCTAATAGCCTTATATTTTCTGATGACAAAACTGAGGCTCAGAGTGGTTCAGTAGCTTATCTGGATCATCCAACCTGTATAAAAACCTTGGTTCACACCCAGGTCCTTCTGACTCAAATTGATACTCTTGCCATCAATTCCATATTGACAATTAATTGCTTAATATACTTAGTGCCACAAATTGTACACTTAAATGTAATTGAAATGGTAAATTTTATGTTATGTATATTTTAATGCAATAAAAAATGAGCAGTGGATCTGAATAGACATTTCTCCAATATCCAATAAGCAAATGGAAAAAGTATGCTTAATATCATTAGCCATTAGGTAAAATAAATAAACACAAGATACCACTTTACATTACATAGAAAGGCTATAATAAAAGACAGATAATAAGTGTTAGTGGAGAAATTGGAACTTTCATACACTGCATGTGGCAATATAAAATGGTACAGCCCTTTTGGAAAGTAGTCTGGCAGTTCAGCAGTTAAACATTGAATTACCACATGACCCAACACTTCCACTCCTATGTATATATCCAATAGAAGTGAAACCACACAGAAAACTTGTACATGAATGTTCATAGCAGTATTATTCATAATAGTCAAAATGTGGAAACAACTCAAGTGTCCCTCAGATGATGAATGGATAGGCAAATTGTGGTATATCCAATTCTAAAACAAAAGAAAACAAAAAAATTTCA